AAGCAGAACAATCACCTTTTGATCAATGGACCTCAGTGGTATTGCATTAAATCAACATCGTTTGTCTAACAGGATTGCCTTACAAGGGATATACGCCAATCGTTTATATAGATCTACTGCAGGACCAGCAGATTACACTAAGCAATACAACCAACTTTTATCCCACATTCATTATGCTGCTATTGGCCATACTGATGATCTGTCAGGTTACCTGGTCAAGAACGCCCAATGGTGGTCTTTGACCGACGCCGAACAACAAGTGTCCCACGCTGTAATACGAAGCCGCCACAAGAAAAGACGAGAATTTTTACAACAAGTGAAGAGGAATCTGGGTGCAGCAGCTTTCTACCTATGCGTGTTTGCGTTCAGCCCAACTTCTCTAGCACAAATGAGGTACAAAGAGTTTGAATCGAAATATCGACGGTGGTCCAGAAAAGGCCGAGACCTCTCTGCTTTTCAACAACAAGCAGAAGAAGAGTTCGGCTCTGCGATGGCGGATAGCAGCCGTAAACGCCCCATACCCGACTCGGGGTCGGAGCCACAAGCAAGCGACAACGAACCATCTCCTAAGAGGATGCGCCTGACTTCCCGTTCCCCGTTATTAGGAGAACCAGCCCATTCAAGCGAGAAGTTAATCACGATGGATCAACCGGCTGATTATAGAAATGAAGACAACGTAGGGCTAGGGGATCGCCATGTGAACGGGGGCGGAGACGAAAACGAGGAGGTTGAAGGCGATGTCGAGGTCGTAGGCGATGGCGAGGTTGATGCCCGAGACCAACATGAAGATGAGGATGAAGATGAGCTTGAGGACGAGGACAACATTGTGCTTGCCCCAAATGCGCACGGGACCATTACCCCTTTCGCAGACGGGCGTGGCCATGAACACATATCTGAGCTGGAGGCTACGATCGCCCATCTCCAGCCCACTATAGCACATCTTGATGAGAGAACAGGAGGGGGCAGAGCGGTTTCTATACAATACGACCAGGTGGTCTACATTCTGGAGACAATGGACATCGTGAGGATGGCACACGAGTGGGGCGCCGTGGGAGTTGTGCGACTCACCGTCCCTAAGGATGTCAAAGTCGCTCCTTTCGTCACTTTCAGCTGTAGCCGGAAAGTAGTCCATCAAGCTATGAAGCACAGGCAGCGGGAGCAATAGATTAAGCGGTTGACTCCATCAGGTATCCAATTCTGCATGGCCCATAACATCTGAACGTGAGCCCAGCCGTCCATGGAATTATCACGATGTTTCCCTTGCTTTCCGATCCCACAGCATCCACGTAGTCATCATTCGATTTGTGAATGTAGATCACGCCGTCCGTATTTCGCATGTCGACGAGGAGAGCGACTGTCTGCTCGGTGGGCTCGGTGGAGTACAGGTCGGGAAGGTCATGCCATTCTGGTTTCGAGCAGTCTTTGCCAATCTGTACCACTTCAGTCAAAGGCTCCATTTCGTTTGGGTTGCTGGCGCAAACCTCTGTCTCGCATAGTTGCTTCAGTTTGCGATCGGAGAATTTCTTCGTCGGGATCTTTCTCAGCATGCTATTGCGCGCTGGAATGACGGCTGTGTTGCTGCTTGTTTTCGAAACCGGGTTGTCGCTGACATCTAATCGCACAACGAGAAAGCGTGGGCATTGTTGACGCAGACTGATGAGGGGCGCTGTGCGATGGCAGTGTTCGATCGGTCGGGGTAATCTGTCTCGGGCATTTGACGGGGGATCTGCTTCTACCGGAACAACTACAGTCCGATATGCCTAATTGATGCCTAACTTCATTTTCATTTTCATTTTCATTTTCATTTTCATTTTCATTTTCATTTTCATTTTCATTTTCATTTTCATTTTCATTTTCATTTTCATTTTCATTTTCATTTTCATTTTCATTTTCATTTTCATTTTCAGCCATGCATTGCGAGAAGAATGATTGGACGTCACAAAAGATTCATGTAGGCCACTGCTTTGGATGAAAGAAGCATCGTTAATCCCAAGCGCAGAGGCCGTCTCAGTACATCAATGATGAACAACGCGTAATGTACCGAAAGACGTAAGTACCTGCCTCATCGCAATTTGGTAAGTGATGTATTGAAATGGCTGATATGTTAGATTCCGTCGTGGCCAACGTAATATTTGCGTTGACCAATATTGCTCACTAAGTGCCCCCCTTGATGAAGAGACCGAGATGCTATACCAGGGCTTTGGCGATTCTCATAGTTTCCATCAAACCTTTTCATGATCTCTACCGTAGGCAGGCAGCGCATTCGAACAGCCGACAATCTCGGCCTAGATTGGATGTAAGCAACACCATATGCTGGCCGCATAACGGGCCTCCTCTAGAGCCATAAAGGTGGCACCCTTGACTATCCAAGGACATTTCCCTTAGACTAAACCTAATGACATGGCTTGATGATAGTTGTGCCAGACGCCTTGCCTGCTGGAGTCCACCAATCGCAAAGCTACTATCGGGATACCAGACTCGACAGCAATGATCCAACATACATCAGAAGGCCCAGAACCATGTCAATATCATTTTTCGGTGCCCACGGGTTGCAGGATCAAGCTTATGGCATCATTAGCGGTGGAGGAATGCTAGGATCTTTCGCCTCGATCCGACCCTTCCACGCACTTGTCCAGCCGGCTGCATGTAATAGCCTGCCGAACGGCCATGCCTTGCCAGCTCTCGCTTTCAACAGCCAGAAGCCAGCCTCAGCATGGGACTCTGCTGGATGGCCGACTATAAATCGTCGCGCCTGGCATCGCCTTGTCAAGCTTCTCCTGGCTCCAGTACTTCGCGTTTGTCTCTCAGCCCCAGCCCAAAACCTGCACAACCCGTA